GCCGCAAATGACCGAGTCTGGTACCCTTCGGGGTTCAACGAGGATTTATTTCCCCTCGTTAGCCTAGTTCGAGATAATACGTTAATGACAAGTGGGGTCAGAGCTTTATTTAATGAGGAGATGGACCCGACAGCTCGATTGAAGCACTTTTTGATGTATACTCGTACACACTGGCCTGTTTTTATTGAAATTGAGAGCTATCCTTCCGCCTTTTCTTATTTCCCTAGCGTACATAGTGGTACCCCCTTCTATAATGTTGTATAATTAACACCTGGATCACAGGGTTATCGATCGAAATAATAATGACTTTAGTATGGAGAGAAGTGTGAGAATAATTCTTATTTGAGCACCCAAAAACATTGTTTCTTTTTTATACTTTATTCAAAGAATCAAAAGTAATATTTGCTTAATAGGGTAAAGAGAAGACCATCAACACAATAATGACCATTTAGCGCTAAGAAAAAGTAATACAGACAGACAGAAACAACAGAGATAAAAGTAAAGAATTAGAATCTCTATCAGTAGCGCCTTCCAAACACCTGCTCCAAGGGCCAAAGTTAAGCCCTCCATTGTTAACATAAGCTAAATATTATGTCTTTCTGTCATGACGTCAAGGCGACACAAAGGCTCCACATCGAGTGGACACTCCGGGTGTGCGTATAAGACCAAGATAGTTCCGATTGAAAGGTCAAAGGTTACTCGACACCGCCATTCGTAAAATAAGTTAAACACGTACTTTTGTATGACGTCAGGAGGATCCCTCTTTGACACCCTAGGTGTGATGTACGTAGTCGGTTCTGAGCAGAGTGCTCTAGTGGACTTGAGCACACCATTTTAAAAATACGTTAAAGAATCTGTTTGGAATAGCGTGACGGCGACCACCATGTGACCCCCAAAAAAGGGTTGAGCTCCCGGATGTGTAATTGATGTCAAGTGAGTTCCGTACGGAGGGCTCACGATGACTTTACAGTATTTTGTCTCATTCAGGAGAAATCAGACACTCGTCTGTTTTGGGGTTTTTTGGGGGCATTTATGGACTTATTGGTACAATCTTAAAACCTGCTTGTCGGCCTTGCTTTTAATGACCGCCCCCCCCCCCTTCCCCCCGGCCACACACACACACACACACACACACATCTGTCTTGAATGGAAACCAAGATATTTACGATTGAAGAAGGCTGGAGTCGCTTGAGTTGTCAGTATTTATTCACTAACCTCAAATGAAGAACAAATTGAATATTGGTTTGTCTCAGAAAAAAGAATAGGGGCTCTACATTTTACATGTTATGATGTAAAATAGGGGGCTCTCGTGGTCTAGAGGCACGGTGTTCTCCTCTCAATTCATAGGCTTTAGGTTCGAAACCTTCTCTTAAAAAATTCTCCGTTCACGTTTCCTGCTATCTAATCATGTTCTGTCGTCTGCTTTCGATTCCACTTTCTACCCTCCCACCTCCACTCTTTGTCCCCACCTCTGGGCACCTGACTCTTTCTGCTACATTTCTACGACTATTCCTTGGCTCCTTCTTACTGTTTTCTTTGAGGCACACCCCTGATCTTAGGTAAGATCTAACATCTAGCTTTTTCGGACAAGGGCGTGTCCAAGCTGGGAAAGTTAAAGATCTCTAGGTTGTCCCAAAATAGGTTAGATTAGGATTCGGCTGCAACCCGGTCTAAATTCATAAACTAATTCCTACCAAACTGAAAATGCACGCTCATACATGTATTTATGACGTATGCAGTTTGGGCGCCGTAAAACACTTTCCAAAACAAATAAATAGATAAATAAATAAATAAATAAATAAATAAATAAATAAATAAATAAATAAATAAATAATAAATACATAAATAAATAGAGTTAGCACACGGGACGGCCCCTTACAAAGCCAACTCAAAACACTCACAAATCTTGATTTAGAATCAAGTTATTCTGGGGTAGCGCGTTGTGGTGTTGCACAATCATAATATAAATAGCATGTTGTATAGCGCATATCCCCGCTCAACAGCAGGCTCTATGCGCTTTACACTAAATTATTACCCCAGCAGACAAGGGAACACTCCGAAACATTCTCAGCTTCCCGGGCGGGAAGCATAAAATTGTGATGTTTACTCGGGCTTGACATTCGATGTTACTGCACGCCACATTCCCTAAGTAACATTGTCTTTGAAACTCTGATTCTGGCTCAACTGGGATTTCCCTGCCAATGTCCTATGATATTATGTGAACCTGTGTCTGGTTTTGACAGTTCCTTGGCTATATAAGAGTATTTCATGATTTAGTGTTATGTTAATTGTTACTTATTATGTTGTTCCAAGGCTAGTTTCCTGCTAGGTACATTTCCGAAGGTACCTGCTTAATGTGCTAATTTGAGCCCTGGGTATTCTGGTTGTGTGAATTAATTGAGCATTTATTGATCCCAACGTTGAAGCACTGAGACTCGATAAATAGTATGCCAATCGGTGGGCGAAAGTGTGAATATTTATTCTCTCTCTCTCTCTCTCTCTCTCTCTCTCTCTCTCTCTCCCCCTCTCTCTCTCTCTCTCCCTCTCTCTCTCCCTCTCTCTCTCCCCCCCCTCTCTCTCTCTCTCTCTCTCTCTCTCTCTCTCTCTCTGTCTCTCTCACGCACTCCCCCTCTCTTTCCGTCTCTCTTTTTCTCTGACTCTCTCTCCCCCTCTGTCCTTTCTTCCTTCCACCCATACTAAGATAATCTTGCGCGAAGGACACAAGACATTTGACCAAAACATCATTAACGCCTTATGAAAACACTGCAAGTTGATGACTGACGGTTTACGACAGGCAAGTACGATAGCAGACAATTTTTACCTGGAGAAGATAAGGACGGCCAAGAAGTAAATGAGCCGACCTCAGTATCAGTAGACCAGATTACTATTAATACAGAGAGAGAGAGAGAGAGAGAGAGAGAGAGAGAGAGAGAGAGAGAGAGAGAGAGAGAGAGAGAGAAAGAGAGCAAGGGTTGTGGGGGCGGGGGAGTGAGAGTTATCTCAAAGCAAAGCCCATCACTCTTGGCACTGGCCTACGCCCTACGAGCTAGCCGAGAAGGGTAACCCAGGCGACCCTGAAACTTTCTGACAAACGGGACTGGTGAAATGACGATGGGCTAGGAAAGTCGATAATGGACCAATTACTGCTAAAAATAAGAACAGGGTAAACTAAACGGACATACTTTAACGAAAAACAAAATGGAAATGATTGTTATACGACTTCGAGCTGGAAAAAGAACTGGGCAGGAACATGGAATGTTTGCTGACTTAGAAGCAGAGAGTTAACGATACATTTAGAAAGTAAGATCCAGGATACCAAGAATTCATGCATGGAAGGAAAATAGAAATAACAGGTACTGTTGCCAATCGAAGAAAAAAACAACCTTAAACAAATCCATAAAAACTAGCCATTGATATGGAGTGAAACCACAGAAAGGTAAAGAGTAAAGAATGCTTTTGGGTTTATATACAGTCCATCCTGAAAGAGCCAAAGAAAATATTGCTGTGACGTACATAACAGAAAGAAATATTACTTTGAGATCACCAAACGAAAGTAGCTCAACAACATATTATATCCAATATGTATGCACCATGCAAACTCCTACCCTAAGAAACTTCACGGTCAGTTCCAGAAAGAACTGAGCGAAGTTGTAAAGGAAATACACATTAGGGTGGTACCATAATAATGGGCACCTTCTACCCCAGAATAAGACCCACAGAGAAACCATTGGGGGACATACCTAAGACAACTCCTCAGCGAACATGACTCGAAACAGAACAATGGGGAAATTATGCTCTGTCCAATTCATTCTGCACCGAACACGATCTAGTCACAGCCATAATATTTAGCACACACGAAAAGCCAAATACAAACCATGATAGAAGTGAATCTTTTTAGGCCAAGTACTTAGAAATAGGGGGTATGACTCAAGGAAAGAGAATAAGTGGGGAGGGGGGGTGTATACTTTACTTTTATCCTACGACAGGGTATGGCTTTTAGGAAAAACAAAGGCTTACTGAGATTGAATTGACTGCTTTTGTGTTTATGACATTTTAGTTATTCAACCACAGATGAATCTAGCGCGTCCTTTATAATGTGGTATCCCAGCGAAAATTTGTTGTAGAGTGGTTTCAAGTACTGAAAATAATATTGCTTTAGTTGTCAAAGGAATCATTAAGTTAGTACTAAAAATCTAGCTTGGTCCCCTGAATGTTACAGAGTTCATAGAATAGCAATACCCCCC